CCCGCCGGTTTTTCTTTTTGCTACAGCCCTGTCTATGACATAAGCTCTTTATTTTTAGACCACGTGATGACTTTTCAAATAAATTGATAAAATAATTTTGTTGAAAAATGACTCATTGGGAATTTCTGATAAAAAATTACTTATTCGAAGAACTTCAGTATTGTCAAACGTTGTATCTTGTCTAATAGGTAAAAATGTGTGTAAGTCTATACTTTTCGAACTTTTTTTAAGCAAATAACTTGAGAGACTGAAAATTCAGAGACTGTATGCTCTGGTCAACAAGTGAGTTTCAGCTTAACATTTTTTTCTCCACCTCCAAAATATATAAACGAAGTGCCATTCGATAAGGAATAGCGTGTAGATTGTTTGCAAAAATTACAAAAATCATAAACAATTAACTGAAAAAAATGGGTTTTTTTGTAAATATCTTGAAAACTATCAACTGAAATGAAAGAAAATGAAGTCGTATCACATAACAGTAAGAGTTTTTTGTATAAGTTTGAAAATGTTCGTATAGGACGAAACTGCAGTAACGTTAGTTACAAATGAAAGTGGTAAAAAACATAGAAATTTTCATTTCTCTTTTCATTATAACAGTAAGTGTTTGAAGTATTTTTACTTCTAATATGCAACAACATAGTAAAGCAGTATAACTAGTACCCCTATAGTTGTCAAAATACCTATTTTGCCACATTCCACAAGTCCACTATGAGAAAAAAACTAATTCCCAACGGAGTTCGACTTACGGACCCTATCCCTGACGCAAAATCGAGGACAAATCTCTTCATATCCGATGACGCCGATGTTTCGTCTGAATCCGTCAACAGTTTCTACACAGTCGTTCCCCTCCAGGCGACCAAAGTACAATAACAATTTACCCTTGTTCCCTTTCAAGCACTTCAGAAGGTTAGACCAGTTCGTGGATCCTAACTGTTACAAGATGGGTTAGTTTGCAACCAAAGGGTCTGCTTAATCAAAAGAATCACTGCTACATATACTCGGTTTTGCAAGCTCTGATCGCATTTCCACCACGTTTTTTCCAGTTATTGTGATGACTCTACTCAGACCCAGAGATCACAATCTCTTCATAGAAGTTTTTCTTGTATAGTTTGTGAGTATACTAGTGAGTAGTCCCAGATCGCATTAGAACCAAATACTCTGCCTATAGTTTCTTTCAATATTGAGCGCGTCTGTCAATTATTGAAATTGCTGTTCCGAATAGTNAAGCGCTTTATGGTGAGTAGACTTTGCACACAAAGTTAGTAATTTAAAATCTAACCCATAAATTCCTGGATACCTGATTTCTATGGCATATATAACGGTCAAACATTTCCAAAGATCCAGTCAACATGAATTCTAGAAGGAACGCAAATGAATTCCGCTTCGTAATAAAGCAAATTACTTATTTGTTGAGAGATTTTTCAAGTCAGCTGACAAGAGTAAGACTGCCAAACAATATGATGAGATCTGGTCCGCGGCGAGGAAAGTACAGTATATGTGCTCATATACCTGAGTTTTCCTTTTCCTTATGCCACCTAAGGTTGGCAAACCAAGATTCATTCTTATCGTCGTTCCTTTGAAATGTTGAGGATTCAAAAGGTCGCTCTCTGAATTTACTCAATGACTATGTTTGAATAATATCCAAATCCAAGTATGTATGTTACAAACGTTTCAATTGCAACTGCGGCAGCCATCTTCAGTGACATGGTCGAAATACTCTTCTTGACGTATCAACTGAAACAGTTTCAGTGGAAACTTTTCCACTGATTCTTACTGAAGAAATCGTTGATATGACATAAAAATGAAGGTGTGGTTTTCTTCTGGTGGATCAAAATTGTTACTAACTTCGTCAGCTTGGTCAGAGACACAAATGTGCTCTGCTGTGGACCATCAGTCATCGCCTCAGGGTACTAACTGGAGTAACTTACAAGTAATATATGTCTGTTCAGGCCAGAATTTGCAGATCTAGAATCATATCTGTGGACGTGGTTGACAATATTTCGTGGTGTATTTCATCAGTTCGGACTTCCATTGTCTAATATAATACAAATTGATTTGAAATCCCTGAAAAACACCTTTAAACAAACGTTGAATACCTGGTACAGACCCGGAACCAGCGACTTATTACGAGGATATGAGAAGACTATGGTCAACATCATACTCAAAGGTTTTTTGCTGATATTGTAAATCCCAGGAGAGAGAGAGCCAAACGCATATTGGAACGCGCCAGCCGAGCACTGTAAAGGTCTCAAATTGATTACCACCGTTCGAAGAGGTCCCCTCTGATGCAAGATGTCACAGAACGATTTGAGGAAATAAGAAGAGAGACTTTGGAAGAGGATCATAGACCAATCTTTGCCAAGATTGAAATCTCGTGCTTGGAGATTCGACAAGACATGGAGAATACCCATACATGGGAAAGTTGGTGAGGAAGCAATGACCAAATGCAGAATGAGAACAGGGCAACTATGAAGCCGCCAACGTCATCAAAATGAGTTCCCGCCCGCTCACGGACATAGAGAAATCTCTGTTGAGGAAAGGTCTAAACTTCGCCATTGTACCAACATCTCTCACAGGACAGTATCTGAGCCACAAATCCAACCACCATCAATCGATTAAGAGAGGAATCATCAAGACCTACTAGACCGTGCTTTCGGGCTTTGTAATACAAAGGAAGGTCTCAAAAAGGAACTAGGCATCATCAAAAATGACTTTCAACGGAATGGTTACTCCAGAGGTAGAAGAGGCTTTAGCTAGAAGACAGCAAGAGCTTCACAAGGAAGAGAAGCCGCCACAACCAGTACTTGTACTTCCCTACAACACAGGTTTATCGGAAAGGATAAGAAGGATTGGGTCTAAGTATAACGTCAGGACCTGCTTCAGATCTGAGAACACTATCTGTAGCAGCCTCACAAAAACCAAGACACAAAACGCGGACTGCGATTCCAAGAATTGCATTTACCGGACACTCTGCGAGTGCGGAAAATTATACATCTGTGAAACAAAGAGGCCATTGAAAGTTCGCATTGGTGAGCACAAGAAACACACACAGCGAGGAGAAACCAGCAAATCCGGAATAGCAGAGCATGTTTGGACACATCAACATAACATCAACATAACATCGAAAGGTCGTGACTTAACTTGGTTTGGAATCTTTTAATTTTAATTTTTATAGAATCATCTTTTAGTTCTTCTTCTGTTGCAGATTATGCTTCTGCTGCTCATGAATTTAGTGTCAGGCAGATTCATAAGGTATCTTGCTTGCTCTTGTGGAGGCAACTAAACCCCTTAAAGGATGCATCATCAAACCACTTGGGTTTGTGAACAGGATCAGCAATTGGAGAACTCAGAAGCCCTCACACTTGTTCGAATGTTATAGGAATGTCAGTTGAAGTCGTTTGATCGACGTTCAACTTTTCTGTAGACTCAAGGTACTATTCTTTGGTTTAGTTAGAGTCCATGAAGGGAGCGAGTAGCTAGGAAAAGATGATCCATCACGGTGGAGCCCTGCATTACCATGGCAAGGCTTTGTACGATGAGGGGGGGCCTGGTATCTCAAAGATTTCGTTAGTGCCATTGATGAGTCATAGATCCTTTCCGTTCGAATACACACATATTAGGATGAAATCATCATTGGGATGTCACCAGACAACCGATTGATGAATTAGCTAATCATTCCATAACGCATGTGCTAAAAGGAGCAAGCAGTAATTCAAGCTTTCTCAATAGCACAGTGTGTGTGTGCGTTTGTGCTCGCTAATTAACAAAAACAGTAAACCGAGTTGGGTTGAGCCGTTTTTGACACATGCTTTATTTAGTTCCAGACCTCGAACAGCGACAGGTCGACCGGTATCAGGAGTAGCCCGTCCAGGTACTCAAACTCGACCAGGTTCAGCTCTTGACCGACTGAGGTCCGCTCGACCAGTTACAGGCCAAACATCAGCTAGAGCAATTCGTATAGGAACAGCCGCCATGTTATCTCAGAAAGATGGTCCGTTCATCCAAGTTTCTCGACTAAACCTATCGAAGTATGCCAAGAACTCTTGCTTGTCTAAACCGTTGTTCGAATATCTCTACTATCACGAAGGAGACATACGGAGTGCTATGGAACTTGCTGTTCAAGCCACGCAATATGCTGAATTCAAAGATTGGTGGTGGAAAGTGCAGCTTGCAAAATGTTACATAGCTTTGAACATGGTCAGGGAGGCAGAACAGCAACTTGGCAGTTCCTTGAAGCAACATCAAAACGTTGAATCGTTCATCAGATTAACCAGAGTATACTTGAGGATGGGTAAGAAAATATGGAAACTGTACTTATTGATTTCTTTTAGCTGAAAATAATACTGGATGAACTTCAAGTTGAAGCTTGTTCAGAAGTTTTAATATTATTCATGGTCGAAAACCAAAGTATCATCATTACACTAATTATTATTAATATTGAAATAACTCAGAATTTGTCCGAACTGAACAATGAGCCAGTAATTTATGGAATAAATTCGCTATTTCGTAAACCATTTACTTTCAGTCAAAATCCCGAAATAGAAAGATTTTCTTTTTCCTATACTTAGATTTCAATGCATATTCTAAAAATGTGAAGTAATCAGCATTGTTTTCAATGGAAACTCCCTCCCTGGAAACTAGGAGGAAACAGAGAAACCTGTTACTACTCTTCAAAATTATTAACGGCAAATGCAGTTGTTCTGAACTCCTAGAAAAAATTTATCTATATGTTAAAAACCGCTCACATGACAGCAACAAACATTTTATGTATTATTTTATCATTTAAACCACTCATTCAATAGCTGCACTCCAAGAAACTTACGATTAGCCAATAGTAGCATTAATCTTGTTGATGTTCAACAGTTCAACATCTCCTTGTATCATTTTAATACTCAATTACGGAATACTGTGCTTTAATGTTAAATTATTACATCATGTCATAAATTACAACAAAATGAAGGAATAAAAAATTAATTAAAACCAAAAGAATATCAAATTCATTGAAAACTAAAAAGAAAAATTCCCATCCCATATTCTCTGTTTCATTATCACTGTTGTCAAATTTATTTCCATCATTAATATGAAAGTGTCCAATCTCCATATTGTCTTTTTCAACTAATATTTATTTTTTTTATCCTTTTCTGCCACTCTTCTTCGGTAACACTAGATACTTCTTCTTCAATTAGCTCTATTATCTTCTTATCAAATTCTGTTTGCAGGCATATTAAGCGTACACATTCTCGAACCATCAGTCCACCCTTTCGTAATTGTATCGTGAGAGTCATACCAATTTTGGTCCAAATAGAAAATTTGCCGTTATTCTTGTCTATATTTAGTCATTTGTTCTAAGTATTTGTTCCGCATTTCCACTATTCTTCTGCTTTCCATAACTGCTTGACGTTTGTTTATTATTTTAAATATAAATCCTAGTTTCTTTATCCAATTCTGAAGAGTTTTGTCACAGCAGCTCACGTTATGGCCGGAAGTATTCAATTTCTTCCTTATGATTTCAGTTGTAGGAATCTCATTGCTTCTTTAACAGTCGTATATTGTTTTTTTTAACGATTTTATTAGATGAACATCTAAAGGTTTTGGTGATCCTGTATCACATCGCGTCATGGGTTTGTTTTTGACTATTTTACGTACAGTTGAGAAAGGAATTTTGGTCAAATCTTGTAATAGTTTGTTTCCCTCGAAACCAAACTTTAGATTACATTCTTATATACCTTGAAACATACTCTCTGTGTTTCCATATTCAAATGCATCCGAATCTTATTCACTGGTATCTCTTTTTCGTATTGTTCACCATCGCTATTGGAATCACTACACTGGAAAAAGTCTGCGTTGTTATCACACTCGTTATTACTATATTAGTACTTGTTCAAGGACGCCACTTTTTTAACAGATAACAAAAATTTCAACACTCAAATTGCGATCAGTTCCTGAACTGGCACGACGGCAATAACCATCTTCGCATTCCCCGATTTCTATTCGTCACCATAACATGACTTCAAATTTAATTTCATGACTCTCAGCCAATCATAAAACTTGGTTAGCCAAAATTATCCAATACGAATCGCCAATTCTACAGTCCACTTGGACTAGTTCGCAGCCGGTTCATTTCTATGTATTGGTTTTTTTGGCCTTTGTGAGTGCCGCCAACTTTAAGTATGCACAATATCGTTTATTTCGACGATAAACCTGGATCGATGCATATTTTTCAGATCAGCTTTGCAAGCCCTAATTTTCCTTTTCTATTCCTTGAATCATTTTCAAACACATGATATTATTTGTACGTTCTAGACCAGCCTCTGTCTGCAATGAATGTGTGCAGAACCGGATTGGACATATTCCCCAAGGACGTGTCAATTATGACAGAGCTTGGAAGATTGGCGGAGGCTTTGAACGATCCGTCATCTTCAGTTAAATATTATCGAAATGTTGTAATTGAAGATGCTATGAACAGCGAAGCCATAGCTTGTATAGGGCTATATCATTTCTACAATAATCAACCAGAGCTAGCTTTGAGATACTACAGGTTAGTATCAGCAGTTATTTATCTTTCCAAGCTGTGAAATCTCTTAGTATATGCAGCGATAGAGGACCACAATAATCCAATTTCTTTGAGCGTGACTGCCAATGCTTTTTGTTGAATAGTAGAGGTTCAGACTTCTTCTCGCTTGGTGTTCTTCTTGTGCTTGCCAATTCGAACCTTCAGCGGCCTATTGTTTTCACCAATGAGAGTAGAATAAGGGAAAGAGGAAATAATGTTTATATTTAAAGGGTTATATTTTTAGGAGTGGCTAATTTTTATGAAAGAAAGTTTTTGTCGTTCTGCTACTCCATCTTGATACAAACAAATGTGGGGATCTTCCAAAAAAAGGAAAGAAGCAATCAATTTTGAAAGAAGTAACTCTATACATAGATGTGTGTATGAAAGTTACTTCTTTGCATGATCTACACATCCATGTACAGAGTTGCTTCTTTTGAAATTGTTTGTTTATTTCCTTTCTTTGGAAGATTCCCCCATGTTTTAGTATCAAGATGGAGTAGCTGAAAGGCAAAACTTTCTTTACCAAAAAATAATGAATATAAACTATTATCAAACAAAGGAAACAAACAGTAATGAAGACGTCTAACTCTGGAATTGTTAAAATTTGTGAATTTTGAAAGTTCCTCAAGGATGAAACAAAAAACTGTTTGAAATAAGGCACGAAACACATGAGAATATTCAGTGAGAAGAAAACCCGAATAGAGAAGTAGGTATCCCTTCAAACGATAAAAGGAAAAAGAAAAATTTACATGTTTATTGATTAATTGATTCATGCTGCTTCATATTCCACAAAAACTNAGTGTGCTGCTATAGGTTCATTTTCATTTCACTGAAAAATATGTTGGTTAATTAGTAGCTTTGGCATCTTTATGAAGTCATATACCGCTACTGAATATTATTTTATTATGTGCGAGCTTCCAAATTTATTATTTTATGTAACTATGAACATTTTTTTCTGATAGATAAGCTAATTGGTTTCGAATTTTTAAGTGGAATGAGTTGAAACGGGTTTCTTGTATAACCATAAATATAAGTTTTGTAACATTAATAGCCAACGATTAATGTTCAAATCCTTTAATTTACAATATTGTTGTGTTATTGTCTACCACTGGCGCGGGCCTCATCCAGGTCAGTGTTGCCAACTACGACCCTATACAATGTTACCAAGAACTACACATTTGATATAAGTTTCAAGTTGTGTAATAAATTATTATCATTACCTTACAGGCGCATTTTAGCTATGGGGGCACATTCCGCCGAGTTGTATAACAATTTGGGGCTTTGTTGTCTCTATTCGCAGCAGTTGGATCTTACTCTCTCCTATTTTCAAAGAGCTTTAGATCTAGCTACAGATGCTGCGGTTAAAGCTGAAGTTTGGTACAATCTATCCCATGTAGCAATAGTGAGTAAACTTTTTATTAATTGTTTTTTGTTATTCTATCAAATATTCTGAATTTTATGGTCCTACTGTTTTCAATCGAAATATTTTTATAGCCTCATTTCCCTACAAATGGAAAACTTTTGTATTATCGGTTTGTGATGTTTATCTATAACTGCTGCCTATGATCTGAAAGTGTCGAGTTTGTACATTCTATCCAGTTCTTACTCAGCAATTAAACTGGAAATATTGTGCTTTAACATGGAACGCCATCACTTACCATTGGCTGAGATGAATAGAGCTGTAGGGCTTCTTCAAGGTGGCATGCGACAAAATGATGTAGCTCTTCGTTTGGGGGTCTCCCAAAGTGTTATCAGTCGATTGTGGCGGCGTTTC